AATTTCAACAAAACTTCACAGGACTACGTAAAATTACCTTGCGGTGGTTCTGACAGCGCCAAAAATTGAAAAAACAATTACTTTTGCATGAAATCATTTTGAAAACACGATTAAGAGGCATCTGTCGAGAATGAAAGGGGGATAACTCATATCGAGTTATACTTATTATAAAACCCAGGTTGTTTCTGTGTGAGTTCGTTTATATATGGGATTGGATTTCCTACATTTTTCAACCGATTTCAACAAAACTTTCACTTTTTTTTTTTGGCAGGTAGTGTTTCTTATTGTCTTGCACACACTTTTTTTTTTTTTATTTTTACATTCAGAATACTTTTAAAAATTCCATTTACAAGACAATTGTTTATAATAAAATTCTATTCAATTGGTAGACTCATAACGATTGAAAACAATGCTTTTGTTTGAGTTTGGGTTTGACCAATTAAAAAAAAAAAAAAACTAATTAAGACATGCGTGTCGTCAACCTTAAACAATAATCTTTGTCAATTTTATTTTTCAGTCTTTATGATGGTCGATATTTGATCTATCTCTTACTGTTACATCCCCGGGCAACGCCAGGCTCTACTGCTAGTCCTAAATAAATTCTTACAATCTAAAAATATTTTCTGGCTTTAAATAACCTTTAAAGGGTTGGTAAGTCATAGAAAATGAATGAATGAATCAATCAATCAATGAAACCTTCCATACTTTTTACCACTTAAAAATGGATAATCCTGTTTTTGTAAGTTTGGTTAAAACAAATTTTCTTATTTTGCATGTTCAGTGTAACCCGGATATAAGAGAGTTGTCGGGACCGGAGAAGAAGTCTCTTATATCCGGGTTTGGTCTATTTTATATACATTAACACAGGCTCTAATTTGGGACCAGAGAAAATCTCTCTTATATCCGGGTTACACTGTATCATCCAAACGGTATAAAACTTACTGAGAAACACATGATTAAGATCATTTAAATAGCAACTGTTTTTGACATTAGAGAAAGTCTAGAACAATAAAGACTCAACACTTATCTTTTTATTGTTTGACAATGTTTTGTCAAGTCACATGTTAATTAATGTCAACAGACATTCAACTTGGGATAGGAGCTGGGTTTGTTATCAGGAAATAATTAAGCATTTAAAGATGGGAATGTGGGGGGGAGAAAAATAAAAGAAACTCCAGATTTTTGGAACCATTTACTTAAGATTTTTCTTAGACATAGCCTCATTTACTTTCTCAACTATTTTTTTTTTTTTTTTTTTTTTTTTTTTTTTATAGAGCAAAGAGAAATTCATGTCATGGTAATATTAGCTGTTTCCTTATCAGGAAACATTTGACATTCATTGATTGAGCAGCCAATGCTACATTCAGTTGAAATTTATAAAATCTTTATAATTTTTCAGGAAAATAGGTTTCTCAAATCCAGTCACTTTTATCACTCTTTCCAGTATTGGTCGGGGTTTCCTTCCTTGCCTTTTGTTTGAAGTAGTGTGGAATGTCAGCATCTTGTCATTATTTTCTCTTCAAGTTTCATTGCTGTCCATTTTTTGTTGTTGCCGCCATTGAAAATCCTCAAGTGATGTATCTTCTGTTATTAAGTTGACTCCTTTGTGATTCTGTAATGCCAATCCACATGATTCAAAGGATGGTCCTCACTAAGGCCTACAGGCTTAACTTGTTCAAAACTATTTTTAATTTTATGGGGGTTTTATGAGGGCAGCTATTTTTCATTTATGCATGAATGTTCCTTGCTGATTATTTCCTTTATATTTACTTTTTCATTGATTCTACTAATTTTTCTGGTTTCCAGTTTGTACTTCTAAATATATCTTCCCATGTCTAAGCACTTTCAGCTAACACTGGCTATTTTCAAGGACTTTTTGCTGATGTCATCAGTTTAATTTTTTAATATATTATGTTTTGTGTGTTGATTTTTATTGAATTTTGTGTATTCATGTCAGAGTTTGTATCTTTTTACATTTTTTGTTATTTGGCTGCTTTTTATACTCAATGCTTTGAGTAATTGCAGTTGCTTTTTACAGTTCATGTGGTATAGTTTGTACTTAAACTGATTATATTTTTTAATAAATGTAGTATTTTAAATGAACAAACAATTGGGATTTGAAATTTGATCATCTTGCCATCAGTAAAGTGACTGGTACCAAATTAGTAAATTTATAAAAGTTTTGTTTATGGTAGGGATTTTGCTCAGAGCCAAAAATAAATAAATACACACAATTTCTAATTCAGAATTTTGAATTATGTTCACCAGATTTTCAGATCTTCCACATAGCTATTGTTGCACCATTTCCCCCAATCATGTGATTCAACCAATAACAAAAAATTAAAAAAAAATTCTTACAATCTAAAAATATTTTCTGGCTGAAAAAAGATTGATAAACTGCAAAAAATAAATAAATAAAAAAACGTTTGTCTTCTAAAAATAACTTTTTAAGAAGTAAAAGTAAATAATTTTTTTAAAATTTTTATAGAATTTTATTTAATTTTTAAAAAAAATTTCATAGAATTTTATTTTTATTTTATATCGTATTTAAAAGCCAGAAATATCAGTTACAAACTTATTGAGTTTGTTGTAACCATTGTTATTGCCTGCCATTTCACATTACAACTATCTGCTATCTATACCAAGAAACTCTCTAAACCCAAAGTGATAAACATAACAAGAGATTAAGAGACTCATGAACAACTGAAAGTCAGATGCCAGCTTTTCTAAGTTAAAATGCTTGTGGTCTATTTTCTCTTGTAAAACTCATAACGTTTATTGAATGTATGAGACTTTATTCCTAAAAATATTTCATACAAGATAGTTTATGATATAAATAATTGTTCTCTGAAATGTAATATCTTACAAAATCTTTATTAAAAAAAAAAAATCTAAATAAGTTGAAATTTTAAATTTTACCAAATTGTTAAGTTTGCAAACATGACTAAGCATTAAAATAACTTTCCTACACTTTCTTTTCTTTCTATCTTTAGCCATAAGAGAGAAACAACATTTACACACAAGTTTTATTGTTGCATATATGTTTTTTGTCACCAAAGATTTATATAAATATAATAAAAATCCATGTGCGCAATAATTTTTATTCATGTATATAATTTCTTTTTAAACTGTCAACTTCAGTTTGTCATCACAAAGTCCACATAGATAGCTAATGTTTTTTTTCTGAAATTTGACTCTTTGTGCATATTTAACCTTTAGCACTCTCCATTATTAGTATTACTTTTCTCTCCACTGCGTTCATTTTAAAGACTTCTCAATTACAGTATCGTTATTGTTAATTTCGCTCAAAGTTGTTTTCTGTTGCCATAGAAGGATATGACAATACAACTATGAAATTCAAGTGCACTATTGTTCAGGGATTAGTCACCATCAGTGGCAGGATAAAATATTTGTACAGAAAATGAAGTTACATAGTGATAAAGTTTAATATGGTAACGGACTACAAAAGCAATGAAGAAAAACAGAAATAGAATGCTAAAAATATAAAAGTAACATTTTGATACACGGTTGTTTAATGGATAGCACCTTGGTAGAGAGAACTATGTTTGCATTCCAGTAGAGTTTGTCATATTCACTAATGTACCTTGGGAAAGGTATGAATCTATCTCTTCTCCTCCTGGCTATGGGTTAAATAGCAGGATAGACAGGGGCCTATCACCTTAGTTGGCATCCAGTCTAGGTGAAGGAAAACCAGCCTGAAGAGAATAGTGCTCCATCTACCTACCTTACCAGATGATTCATCTGCTGTTATAGCTGCAGTACATGTGCCCCTATGGCTCTAGTGGATTATGAGACTTGTGTGTATGTGTGTGATGAATATAAATAATTAAAATGATTAAAAATTTTTATTATTTAACTTTTGTATTAAACTAACTTATGAATTAACACCAAAAAAATAACACCAGTAATGTACAAATTCAATATTAATAATCATAATTATGGATCTATCCACTACCCTTCACCTCATCCTTTCTTCTATCACTCCTATCTGATCTTGCTCCAAAATTTCTGTAACCCCTTGCATCCTAGTGTCTTCCCGCCTTGCTTGGGATGAAACGCTTAAAAAAAAAAAAATAATTATTATTAAGTGCTACTACTTCGTGTCACCCTTTTTTTTTTTCTATTTCTAAACTATAATTATAAAATATGATTTTGCAAAGTGAAATATTTCATTGAAACATGTTGGAAAATTACCAAGTTTTCATCTGTAATCAAGAGAATACAAACTTTAAGCAAAATGGTCAGAATATATGGTGGGGGGGGAGTGTCAGTTTAAACCAGTGTTTCACAACTTTTTTTTAAATTCAGGTTGCACTTGTATAATAACTAAAACTCTGGGGTGGACTTTAAATTTTAATAAGGAAACATTAGTCATGAAATTTGAAAATAGGAAAATAATGGAGAAGTCTCCATTTATTTTTAAAACATCATATTTTTTTTTTTTTTTTTTTTTTTTAGACATCTTTGTGTGAAACATGTTCTTAATGTGTCTTGGTAAGTTTTTGAATGATAGGCTTTATATATTATGCCTTGAAGAAAGCAAAGAGGAAAGGTTTATTCCTGACTTATTAAAAGATTAAGGAATTTAATATCGAGTTTAAAATATCAAATGATAATTTGACAAGCATGGAAACCATGTGCTTGGTGCCTCTTTTTTTATAAATAAAGATTTTAAAATATAAAATCGCTCTTCTGTTAACTTGAGGCACACCTGGCTACCTTTCAGGGTGTATCAATGCACCCAGGTGCCCTGATTGAGAAACACTGGTTTTAAACTGACACCAGGGGATAGGGTTAAAGAAACTCTATAAACAATGCACCAAATGTGTCGAATCACAAGTGACTATGTGGAATAGCAGATGTTATGACTCAAGATTTGACCAGTAACTTTTCAGTACTACCTTGTACATTTCTAAATGAAGCAAGAGTTATCTACTCTTGCTTTGGACAATCTGGAATCACTTTTAACTCAAAATGTG